CCTTAACTGCGTAAACCTACCACTAGGACCATAGAGTGTAAACGTCATACAAAATAGAGACACCACAAGAGAAAAAAGGTGAAGAGACCAATCACATGAGATAACGCCGAGATAAGGTTTCTTACAACTACCATCACATATAACCTTATGACTATGCTAAAATCCAAAAATGATAAAAAAAAACTATATAAGTTTATAATGTTTCATCAGTCACTAAGCAGAATCACACCTAACCATACACAACTCAATGGCTACTATTACCACCACTGCAGCAGCAACCTCAGGTATCTTTGGGATCCGGATTCAAGATCCGAGACATGGAACCGGTAGAGTCCAAGCCCGGTTCGGTTTCAGTTTCGGTAAAAAGAAACCAGCTCCACCGCCAAAGAAATCAAGGCAGGTCCAAGACGATGGAGACCGGCTAGTTTGGTTTCCCGGAGCAAATCCACCGGAATGGTTAGACGGATCGATGATCGGAGACCGTGGTTTCGACCCGTTCGGTTTAGGAAAACCGGCGGAGTATCTTCAGTACGATTTCGACGGTCTTGACCAGAACCTCGCAAAGAACGTGGCGGGTGACGTCATCGGGATCATACAAGACTCGTCGGAGATCAAACCGACGCCGTTTCAGCCGTACACTGAAGTCTTTGGGATCCAACGGTTCAGAGAATGTGAGCTGATCCATGGAAGGTGGGCCATGCTTGGTACTCTTGGCGCCATCGCCGTCGAAGCTCTCACCGGAATTGCATGGCAAGACGCCGGAAAGGTACGTACACTTATTTGTTTGTCACTGTATTACACGTAGTTGTCGACGTGGACAATCGTCAGTCGTTGGAACTAGCTAGAATTTAAATTGGAAAAAAAAAAAAAACATATAGGCATGTGCATGTTTGTGTAACTCGACCCTACTCGTACCCGATCCGAACTATTCAAAAAATTCGGTTTGGTTGCATAAATTTGGGTCTAGCTGTGTTTAGTTGGTATTCATTTTTTTTTTGTTATTCTTGTTTGGGGTATTATGAACATAGTCGATCTCAAATTATTGGTATATCATGGTAAAATAGTTGTTATAAATATAAAAGCTCCAATTTATATATATTACTAAAATTTTCATAAAGAAATTCTTGTAATTGAATTTTGATCATGTTCGATTAATGCTCCACTCGCACATGCTAAAAGACGATCCATATGAAATGAGGTTTGATTTTGAGTTAATTAATTTTGGTTCGATCGGTTCGTTTTCTTGTTCCCACCCCTCCTAGGTGGAATTGGTAGAAGGTTCGTCGTATTTGGGACAGCCATTACCGTTCTCATTGACGACATTAATATGGATTGAAGTGTTAGTGATCGGGTACATCGAGTTCCAGCGTAACTCGGAGCTGGATCCGGAGAAAAGGATTTATCCGGGTGGGTATTTTGACCCGTTAGGACTCGGTTCTGACCCGGAGAAGTTGGATACTTTGAAACTGGCAGAAATAAAACACTCTCGTCTCGCAATGGTCGCATTTCTCATCTTTGCCCTTCAAGCAGCCATTACTGGTAAAGGCCCCATCAGCTTCCTAGCCACCTTCAACAATTAATGAGCCTTTCTATCTTTTATTTTATATTATAAAAAAATTATACATTCTTAAATAAATAATTAAAAACTGTATAATGTATGTTATCCTAAAGAGGTTGTGATAATGTACTGAAAAGTTTGTTTTTTGTTGGAAATGGTTTATTATATCTATAGACTATAGTTTTGCCTGTTAGGACGAATCTTAATTATGCTATATAAAAGTTTTTGGTTTAAAATGCGCAATTGTTAGTCTCTCTAGATTTGGGATAATCATTAGCGGTAGATCCATGTGAAAATAATTATTTTCGTCGTCCCTAGTGCAACTCTAAATAGGATGGGACTTAACTACTTCCCAAAGATGTCATATTTACCGCTACTAGTCCACACCGAAGCTTTGGGTTTAGATTGAGTATTCACACAAAGCAAAATCTAATGAAGTCAAAATATATAGCATATGCATTGATTGAACCCAAAAAGAGACCAGTTTTGTAACTTGTGAGAGCCACCTTGTGCGCGGCTAGATGTAGCTACTAACTTTTATTGAATTATTTGTTATTTTCCTCGAACCGATATAGTTCAAGGTGAATATTCAACATTTTGAAAAGATGATCATATCTATAGATTCGATTAACTTGGCATACAAATAATAGCTTCCTGAATTTTTAAAAGACAAAATTCCTTTGTCATCTTCTTGACAAGATATGATAGTTTTCTAGATAATTAACTAATAGAAGGGAGAAGGATTTTGTAAGACTACTCTACCATGACATTCAGTTTACTTTTGCATGATACTAGGCTTACTAGTAATAACTAAATTATCTTATGCTAATATACATGTATTACAAA